TTCAATTTATGTAGATTCGCCTTATGTCCCAGCATGTGGTCTATCTTCGAATATGTGCCATGTGGGTTTGAGAAGAATGTGAATTTTTTTTGTATTTGGATGAAAAGCTCTGTAAATATCTATCAGGTCAAACTGTCTAATTGTATTGTTTAGATTTCTAGCCTCCTTGTTGAGTTTCTTTCCCTGTGATCTATCTTTCTCAGAGAGCGGTGTGTTGAAGTCACCCACTATAATTGTTGAGGCACTGATTTCTTTTTTAATCCTTTGGAGTGTTTGATTGATGTATTTAGCGGGTCTCTGATTCGGGGAACATATGTTTACAATGCTTAGTGGTTCTTTGTCTACCATCCCCTTGAGCATTATATAGTGTCCCTCCTTATCTCTTTTTATGGTTTGCACTTTGAGGTCAATTTTATCTGAGATTAGGATTGCAACCCCTACTTTTTTTGAATTGTTGTTTGCTTGGTATGACTTTCTCCAGTCATTCATTCTCAGCGTATTTTTGTCTGTAGCCTTGAAATGTGTCTCCGGTAGGCAGCAGATTGATGGGTTGTGTTTTCTAAGCCAGTCTACTAGTCTCGGTCTTTTAATGCCTGAGTTCAGACCATTGATATTCAGGATTATTATCTCCATCCGCGGACTCTGTGATGTCATAATCTTATACCTTTTGTGTTGGGTGTTTTCCTACTTTCCTTTCTCATTAGCCTGTTGTGCAAGTGTGTTTGTATAGCTATTATTACTCTATTACTCTTATCAACAATTTCTAAATTTTTGGTAGTCTATTTTGTTAGTTACTACACAAGGACCATGACAAACAATGTGACCTCATACAGTTCATGGAAAAATTCATTATCTTTCTGTTTGTTTCATTTTTCCATTAACTTTCTGAACTCTTTTCATAATTCAAAATTCAAAATGGAACAAAAATTAAGCTTTAATTACCATATAAAGACAAATACCTTCAAAACACCATTAATTCAGTTGAAGTGAATGGCTAGCATTATTATAAAGATTTATTTTGGAATTTTTAAGTAAGTCACATATTAACATTTGATTATTTAACATTCATGCATACTAGTTGTCAATCTTTTATATTTTCCCAATGCACCTGAGAACATGGCAGATTCCCGTTAGTGATTCTTCACTAAGCGATGGGAATGCAGTCAGGGGTAGCGTGGATGAGAACTGCCCTGAGTTGAGAATCACTAGCTTACATATTATCAATATAAATCTAAAGAGAAAGAAATCAGAAAAAACTGATTCAAGAAACCACGCTAAAATTGTTTTGGAAATGTTGATGGCAACATATGTGCAAGTGTGCTTAATATTATTTATTGAATGATGGATTTTTACAAGATTTGTAAGAGGCCCCCAATAAAGTAATTAAAAGAAACCAAGCTAAATCTACAGAAAGATACCATTTCTTGAATGTATATAAAAAAAGCCACTAGTACTGAAAATGTCTTACTAGTGTGTTTTCTCCACTGGAGCTGTTCCAGAGCCTCATGCGATTGTCTGTGCCAACAGTGAGGAGGTGCAGGCCATCATTTGTAAAACATAAGCCATTCACTTTCCCATTATGAGCAGTGTTGGCTGCAAGGAAAAATATAGTCCAGTTTACTGTTTCTATATTCGACATATATGTAATGTTAGATAATACATCTATTTAAGTCTATTAAAGAACTACTTGAATTTCTTCAAATACATGTTGATTATACATAAAAGCAATCCTTTAGATTTAAATAATGACAAGCTATAGACATTAGAACAACCAAAAAAAGATAGAAAACTGAAAGAAAAAAAAATCCCATGTATAATTTTTCCTCAGCTATGCTATTAAATTCCACTAAGTATATAGCTATATTCTAAAATTTTCCAGAAAGCACTTCTCTTCACTTTAAGGCAATGTTTAAATTTTAATCTGAAAAACCAATTTATAAACTACAGAAATAAACAAAACATTTAAACAAACTTTAACAAGGATAATTGTATTAGTCTCAAAATTTATTTTTTACAAACTGAACAAGTTTGAAAAAGCATAATTCTCAATAGCCTGATTCATTTGCTGAAAAGGTTACAGCAATCATAGGTTTCCTATTCCATTCTAATATAGTTCCAGTCCAAACTTAATTCTAAGTACAAATTTTTACACACAAAGAAATTAAACATATAAATGAAACATGTAAGAAGACAACATAGGTATTTGCCATCTGGATGCCAGCAGGCACACATTTATTAATAGCTGGATGTCAATAAGCTTGCAGACACATTTTATGTTCTCTTAGTGCTATTTTTTTTGTGAAATTTTGACACCCCCTTCAAATAATGTACTTTTTATGCTGACATATGTTCACCAACGTTACTATTTCTTTAGCAACTTGAAGAAATACATTACTTAAATTAAAAAATGGATTCCTGGTGAAATACCTTTTTAATTATAAAATGTATAATTTGTCAACACACTGGTATTTAGATTCAATTAAAATTTCCAATACAGAACTACCATTGTCATATTTCTGTCTTAGTCCAGACTACATTACCTGATTCAACAGCTTGTGACTTTTTCCCATTGTGTTGATCAAGCGTAATCAAACATGCTGAGGCTCTCCTCACATCCCATAATTTTACTCTGCTGTCAGCACTGAGAAGAAATAAATGTGACACTGCCAAATGGCTCTAGAATAGTGACTATACTGCTAACCCAATTTTCTGGGAGCACAGCACACAGAAGTTTCATTACATAGTACATATTTTACATTTAGGTGGTTGTACTTTTACCTACTCAGCAAATACTCAATGTTCAAAAGTAACATAAAGAGGTGAAATATACCCCCAAAAGTAACTTTTTTTTCCATTAGAAGCAATTTCAAAATCTGTTGACATTTATGTTGCTATTTTTAGTTACATGAGCATCTTTCCACCCAGGCATGGAGTTTATTTCCTTGAACAACTTTGTTGCCACAATAAAACCTTCAAAAGGTGGAAAGAGAAAAGGAACAGGTGACTATTTTCATTTCTTTTATTAATCACTTTATTGGAGGGCTCTTGCAAGTCTTATAACAATCCATCGTTCAATTGTATTAAGCACACTTGTACATATGCTGCCATCAACATTTCCAAAACCTTCTTTCTATTTGAGCCCTTGGTACCAACTCCTTTCCCTCCCTCCCGACCCTCATGAATCCTTGATCAATTATGCATCATTATTATTAGTCTTACCCTGTTAGTTGTCCCCCTTCACCTACATTCTTGTTATTTATCCCCCTGAGGGGTGGGCTATATATGTAACTTTGTATTCATGGGTTCCCCTTTTCTTCCCCCCACCTCCCTACTCTCATATTGTTCCTCCCACTACAGTTCCTGAGGGCTTCATCTGTCCTGAATTCATGTGTCCAGAGCTCTTATTGGTACCAATGTGTGTATACAAATCGGTCTAGTCAGATTTGTAAGGTAGAACTGGGTCATGGTAGTTGGGGGGAAGCATTCAGGAACTAGAGGAATGCTGTGAGCTTCGTCAGTGCTGTACTGCACCCAGATTGACTGGTCCCTTCCTTGTAACCTTCTGTGGGGTGATGCCCAATTGTCTATAGATGGGCTTTGGGTCTCCATTACAAACCCCCTCTTTCACATAGATATAATTGTTGGTTTGAATCTTTTGATAACTGATACGTGAGCCCATCAGCACCTCATGATCACACAGCCTGGTGGGCTTCTTCCCTGTGGGCTTCTTTGAGGAGACCATTTTCTAACAGAGCTAGAGAGAAGGGACAGGACTTTGCCTATCCAAGGAGCAGAACCAAGTACACCTTATTTTTAAATTAAGGAAAGTGTTAAACTGTGTGTGCAACAACAACCCAGCAGATATTTTTTATTGCCAGTTAGACAATTTGCATTACTGTAGCTTCTCTAGTTCCATTCTCTTTGCTTAAGAATGAGTATCTCCACCAAAGGCAGTCAGGGTGTGGGGTATGACACAAAGAATATTTCTTCTAGTGATGTGAATTAACTGGAAATACAGGGAATCCAGGGCGGATGATCCCTATAGGACCAGTGGTGTGAGTGGCGATACTACGAGGGTAGAGGGAGAGTGGGTAGGAAAGAGGGAACTGATTACAAGGAATTATATGTGACCAATAGAAAAGTGGGTGAAGGGAGATGTCGGACAGGGTAAGATATGACAAAATAACAAGTTATAAATTATCAAGGGCTCATGAGGGAGGGGGAGCGGGGAGAGAGGGGAAAAATGAGGACCTAATGCCGGGGGCTTAAGTGGAGAGGAAATGTTTTGAGAATGATGAGGGCAATGAATATACAAATGCGCTTTACACAATTGATTTATATATGGATTGTGATGAGTTGTATGAGCCCCTAATAAAATAATTTAAATAAATAAATAAATAAAATGAATATCTGTAGTTAAAATTTTAAGGGCCCAATTAATAGCTTAACATGCAAAATTTATACCTAACATCGTTTTTTTTCTTCCTCCAAAAGGTGTCTCAAAATTACTTTTTCTAACTTAAAAATGAAGTAATTTTTATTTTAAGTTGCGTTGTTAAAAAAAGTGCATCCCTACCTGGCAGTTGCCAAGATATATTCATGACGTGGTGACCAGGAAACAGCCAATATTTCTTGCCTGTGACCTATAAACACAACTATATGAAAAGTCTTGCTAAATATATGTAAAGTACCAGAACTGTGCCTGGTTCTGAAAAAAAAAAAAAGAATACTGAATATTAAAAGTGAAAGAATTCATATGACCATCATTATTTTTATGTTTACAACAAACCAAACCAAACCCATTGCTGCTGATTCAAACTTCCAGCACAGTGGAAGTACTCCACAGGGTTTGCAAGGCTGTGAATCTTTGGGAAGCAGGGAGGAGCTAGTGTTACAACCGTTGTGCCACCAGGGGATCCTTTATCAAAAGCTATCTGAATAGTAATGTGAAAGTCTTGAGGCATGAAGCCACTGGCACACAGTTCGTTCATATTTTATAAATAACATAACGAGTTTTCTCTTAGAAAGGATAACCAAAGCAAGTTAAGTTTTTAAAAATATAATGTAAGTCAATCCATCAATCACTGATGTAACTAAGATCAATTACTTATCCCAACAACAAAATATGAATACAAAAAAAATATGAAACAAAAATTCTATAGAATAAAATGTTTTCTTCATTTCTCAGAGTTTTAAGGTAAAATAATGTTTTAATTCATAACTGTAAAAGACATTTGCCAAATTTTCTCCCCTAAAAAACAGAGGCAGTAAGTTCATAGGGGAAATGAGTCACATTTCCCTAACTATTCAAACATTTTCATCTGCTCAGCTTATATTAACAGATAATAATTATAATATAAAACATGCTATCTGTCATAAGAAGTTGTCTTAATATATTATGTACTTCTTATAAATAAAAATATATGAATTTACATTCTACCTTTATTTGTTTACAATTAGATGATCTAATGCTGATAATATGATAGCAAAGCAAATTTAATTTACCTCATTCAACTAAAGTATTTCAACGCTTTTTTTTCTAAAGTACTTTATTGAAGGTAAGAAAGCACCCCAATATAAAGAATGTTTAACCATCAGCCACAACAGAATTCAACAATGCTGAGGAGACAGTGTCTTGTGTACGTTCACTAATCGTTCATAATCTTTTAAATTGTGGAAGTAATAAGGATGTGGGTTAGCCCATCTATTCTCCATACCCTCAAGCTTCCCCCATGGCCAGCTCCTCAATAGTTCAATTTTCTAAGAATAATGCACAGAAGGAGCTTTATTTCCCTGTTGACTTTTAACAGCTAGCACAAAATACATCAGTCATGCCACTTACAAAGAACACATTGTTAGCAATGGTTCTCTCATTGAATGTTTATTGTTTCAACTTAGAAAATACCCTGCAGAATGTGGGAACAGGATCCAGACTTCAAGTCACAAAGTTGTACTTTGGGCCCTCTTGTACCAACTGCAAAAAGAGAATGTATTAAAGCATCATTAAATATTACAAATCGCCATTAAAAAGAATTAAAAACTAACATTGTAATTCAGCACATTTAAAAAAAATGTATGTCCAAACTATGTTTCTAATTTCTATATTTTAGAATGAGAATACTATTTTAATCTTAATATACCTTAGTAGTAAAATACCTCTACTACTAGTGCATTGGTAGTTAACCTTTTATTTTGTATAATTATAGATTCACAGATTTTGCAAAGCTAGTATATAAAGGACTCCCTACTCTTCACCCAGGTATGCATCCCCCAACATTCATGGTTTTAATCTTAGGTAATTAAATGTTCAAAATCAGGAAATTTAAATTGGTACAAAGCACGTGGATAGTTCTATCATGTTTTATTACTTCCAATCATTTTATGTTAACAGCTAACTTTTCCATGTTCAAATCACTAGTAATAGACTCATAAATCCTGGGCAGAGATTCCAAAGGCCTCAGAGATAATTTTGTGTGCAGCTTGTCTTTACAGATGAAGTGGTTAAGTGAGGTCCCGGGGCGAAAAGGCAGAGCTGGTACCACAGATCTGACCCTAGGAAAGCATGTTTTTTCTTTTCTAAATGTAAAAAAACATTGTTGTAGATATTTCTGTATAAATGGATATTTAATTTGAATTACACAGTCTCAAATAGTGGCAATGATTTCCTTGATCTATTGTCTTCAATTAAGAAGCTGATGAGTGAAAAGTAAACGCTTCAGGGGGCAGAAATCTGCTTTCTGAATCTTTGCTGGCCGCTAGCACGGGGCCTCACCTGAATATTTGTTGGGCTGATTCCAAAGGTATGTACACCAAAACTATGTTTAAGTTATTAAAAAAAAAGAAAAGAATTGTGATCTCCCTGTGGACTAAAATGCCTCTATCTAAGGAGATGGGGCAGTAAGAGGGAAAAAACTTCAACAGTCGAAGACAAGAGAAGGCACATACAAACCTGCTACCAAACAGTGCTTGGTGGCAACTGGGGACATATGATGACTGTAAACTGTTTCCTCGAAAGTAAATACATCCGCAGTCTGACAATCAAAAAACATTTTATGAGTATGAGTGCTAATTATAATTACAAAAGCAACATTGTTCTTCTTTGTTATTTTACACATTGCTAGACATTTCAAAAAAGTGAGTGTTAGCAAACTAAGTGAGACATAGAAATATAGCTTCCCAAACCCTAAGAACTTAAAATCCTATTTACAAGGAGCCCCGGCGGCATAGTGAGTTATGCTTTCCATTGCTGGCTCTGAAGAAGTGCTGCTGTGGACCAGAGACTGGATCCATAATGTTTTCTGATCTTGACTTGTAACTTCCATCCTATTAACTTCCCTAATAACCCCCTAAAATTCTAAGTATTTTCTATAAGTTCTGTGTGGCCATTGAAACGAATCCTTGAACTCAGCAGAGAAGTCGAGTGCCATGAGAGGAATGGTCCGTGTCAGAATAGGGTCAGGAAGGATGGAGCGTGGAGGTGTGTCTGACCTCTGCATTGTGGCAATTGGCTGGACTGGAATGCAGGCGAAACTCCAGAGTAAATCAGATGTCGCTGCCATATTGTTTCTTCACTAGTTTTTCTCAGTGAAAGTGTTGGCTTGACTATAAGTTGCTCCATTGCAAATATATTTTTAATACCATCCCATTTTCAATGATATAAGCAAACACCTATATACTCGTGTATAAGCTGAGTTTTTCAGCACATTTTTAATGCAGTTTTTGTGTGGTAAAATTAGGTGCCTCGGCTGATATTCGGGTCAGCTTATACTTGAGTATATATGGTAAATACTATAAAAGTAAAACCAAAATGATAAGCTTATTTCCCCCCAATATGGAATGGTTAAAAAATAAAACAAAACTATGTAGTTTCAACTAGTTGAAACGCACTGTTTATATTTCCTTACACAGTACTGTATACATTTTTCACATTTACATTTGGTAATTGATAGTCGTAGTATCAATACATAATTTTTTAATGTAGATCTTCAGTCATTCTCAGAGTTACTCTACACAGCCCTGGACTTACCAAACACCCCCGCCCCCCAATCAGGTTAATTCCGACTCACAGTGACCCTTTATAGGGTTTCCAAAACTGTACGTCTTTACAGAAGCGGCCAGACTTGTCTTTCTTCTTTGGAGTGGGCTGGTGAGTTTGAACCACGGATCTTGTGATGAACAGCCTAGTGCTTAACCCTCAGCATCAGTACTGGACTTAGGTATTAAAAATAGTTTTTGTTTGGGGAGTAGTTGTGAGAAAAACAGATAAGGTAGGTAGCTAGAAATGAAAATGATACTAATGATTGATAGTTTTCATTTAAATGAGTACAAAAATCAGTGCTTAACCAGGTGGTGGATAAGACAACCCTTCTTAATATGCGTGAGTGATTAAATTGTTTATGTGAATTATATGCCAATAAAAGTATTTAAAAATACTGCTATAAAAATTCAAATAGAATGAATACTATGAATTCCAGAAGCTAAAGCCACCTGTTATACAACAGAACTAGAAGAGCCCTGAGACATCATCTAGTCCGTTATCTGAATTTCTTACATAAATTAAGTGACTTACCTAAAGGAACACACCTAGAAAGTAGCAGAATGTGACTAGAATTCACTGTCCTGATTCTTCACTGCCATTGAGTTGACTCTGACTCATAACAACCAGAACTGAGCAAGCAGAAGAGAACTGCTCCTTTAGGTTTCCAAGACTTGAAATCTTTATCGGAGTAGACAACCTCATCTTTCTCCCATGGAGCAACTGGTGGATTCACACCAATGACTTTGTGCTTAGCAGTTCTGTGCACAGTTCACTACACTACCAGGACTCCTCCTGATTAACAATAATTTTGAAGAGGTATGACTTTAAGAGAAGAGAAAAGCTGCACAGGGAAAGGTAGTTGAAGCAGTGCATACAAGAGTGAAGATGTGATCAGAAGGTACAAGGGTTTAGCTCTAGCAAATCATTTAATGTTGACAAGAGACTGGAGCTAACGGGGAGGAAGTACAGCATGAGGTTAGGAAGATCGCAGCACGCCAGGTTGCATGTACCTAATGGGAATCACTAGGGGTTCGGTCAAGTAGAGACACAATGGAAACTGTGTCACGGTGAGATGAACTCTGAGGTAGAGCTTACTGGAAAAATGGTAGAAGCAGAGTGAGGCAAGAAAACCATAGTTTTTAGTCACCACCTAGACATACAGTGATAGTGGGCGAAGTGAAAAAGGGAAATACAGGCGGACCTCAAGGATATTGTGGCTTCCCAACACAGAGTCACATTAATTTTTCAGTTTCCAACATTCTGTTGATACTGTACTGCAGTCTATTCAAGGAGCCTTGGTGGCAGAGTAGGTTGAGCACTGGACGGTCAACTGAAAAGGTGGGAGAGACACGAGGCAGTCTCCTTCCATAAAGATTGCATTTGTGGAAGCCCTGTGGAGCAGCTCGGCTCTGATAAAGGTGCTAGGAGTTGGAATGGACTCATTGGCAGTGAGGTTGGTAGTTAATTATCGTATATTCTCGAGTATAAGCCACCCCGACTATCAGCCGAGGCACCTCATTTTACCACAAAAAAAGGCATAAACAATGTGCCGAAAAACCAGGCTTATACTCGAGTATATACAGTTTGTTAAGTGTGCAACAGCATTAGGAAAAAATTTGAAATACTGTCTGAGAATTACCAAAATGAGACACAGAGGCATGATATGAGCACATGCTGGTGGGACAATAGCACCAATAGACTTGCTTGACGCTGGGTTGGTACCAATCTTCAATTTGTAAAAACCACACTAGCTGCAAAGTGTGACAAAATGCAGCACAATAACACGAGCTGTGCCTCTGTAAGGAGTTTGGAAGACTTGTTAGGATTTGATGAATTGGGTCTGTGGTGCTCACGTTCACTTTGGAACAGGGGTCCTCAAACTATGGCCCGCGGGCCACATGCGGCCAGCCGAGGACATCTATCCGGCCCGCCGGGTGTTTTCGCCCCGTTTGTTTTCTACTTTAAAATAAGATGTGTGCAGTGTGCATAGGTATTTGTTCAGTGTTTTCTAAAACTATAATCCAGCCCTCCAACGGGTCTGAGGGAAAGTGAACTGGTCCCGTTTAAAAAGTTTGAGGACCCCTGCGTTGGAACATGTGAACTTTGAGACAGTGGAGATGTGCTGTAGACAGGGAGAATACTGGGGGACTAGCACTCAGAGTAAAGATTAGCATTCATTGCCATGGAGTTGACGTTGACCTATAGTGAGCCTATAGGACACAGTAGAACTGTCCCTGAGTTTTGAGACTGCAAATCTTTAGGAGATAGAGAGCCCATCTTTCTCCTGTGGAGCGAGCTGGTGGTTTCAACTGCTGACCTTTGGGATTGCAGCCCAACTCATAATCACTCCGCCACCAGGGCTCAAAGATTGGCACTAGATATATAAATTTGAGCTTGCTGTTAGGGTTCATTGAATTGTTTCTGACTTTGAGAAGAAACGCCCCACAGGGCTTCTTAGATTGTAATCTTTACAGGAGGTGGGGGTGGGGCAGATCAGCTGGTTTCTCTTGAGGAACCACTGAACGTTCAAATGGCCAACCTTCAGGTTCACAGCTAAGTGCTCAACACTGCACCAGAATAGCCACTAGCTACCTGTATTCAGCCACATTAAAAAAGTTCTTCCACTGCTAAGAGATAACGCCAATTTTCTTGCTCAGACTACCAGGCCATACTAGATTCTTTAAACCAATTAAGATAATGGCTAGCAGTTTTTGAGCATTTGTTCTATGCTTGACACTACTCTGATACTTTACACCTCTTAATGTATTCAATGCTCACAAACACCCAAGGAGGTATAATCGATAATCCCTCTTTTCTGACAAGGAAACAGACCTGAAGTGGTGTGGACTCCAGCTTCCCAGCCCTCCTTACACTGCCTGCACGCCCCTGTAGCATCCATGACACCTGAGCACACTGAACTGGCTTAGGATCAAGCTCTCCTTCAGCCTATGGAACCGCGGGGACGGTGCTAGCATACTTACTTGTAATGTATTTGTATCCCATATTTTCAAAGTTTTGTCAAATGAGCTTGACGTGAACATGCCGGTGTCATGAGGGTACCACTGCACAGTCTCAACGCTGTACTTGTGGACATCGGGATGGCTCCTAGGAAACACCAAGCAGACGTCACACATGATGTATGCGAATGTCAAGATGGATCAACATTACTAAGGAGAAGCAGTCTCTGGGAGGACAATCTGAAAGGCCAAATCTAGATCACAAACCTGTATCCTGAGTGTCCAGGAGTAGTGGAAAGAGTCTCTCAGCCACCCCCAGCCAACAAGTGAATTCCAACCCATGGTGACCCTACAAGGCTTCTGAGGCTGGAAATCTTTATGGGAGCAGACACCTTCATCTTTCTCTTGTGACTGGTGGATTTGAACCACTGATCTTGTAATTAGCAGCCTAAGACAAAGCTGATAGCACCAACAGAGCTCTTTATCTCATTCACAGTGAATGAGAATTTTGTAGACGAAAGGAATCTTTAGAACACCTACAGTAAGTTTGCTCAGAATAACTAGGAGATGGTTTGAATTAAAACCCATGAACTTAACAAACCTTTACTGAAATATTTTTTTAAAACTTTGATTGTAAACTTTTGCATATAAAAATTGTATTTTAACCCATTTTATAAATATGCCCACTACAAATCTGAACTGATATTTTACAAGAAGGGAGCCTGAAACTAAGTTAAGCTAAAACACAAGGTCAGCACACTAAGGACTCACTTGACCTTACACAACAGAACAAGCAGTTCCTACAGAGTAATAATCACACAGCACATGGAACATACGAAATACTATTTTGCTATATTACACTTATAACTCAAAGTTTAAATGTTAGCTGGGATAAAATAAAATAAAAATAAACTACTTAAGAGAACTGCTTTCTACTTTAGAGTTTGGAATGCTGTATTTCCTTTTCTGGGATGTAAATGGCCTAAGCATCAGATGCTGAGACTGTCCCGTGGACCTTGGACAAATTATTAGGAGAGACCAGTTCCTGGAAAAGGGCATCAAGCTTGGTGAAGTGGACGGTTAGCAGAAAGGAAGAAGACCCTCCAGGAGATTGGTTAGCATAGTGGCGGCAACAATGGGTTCCAACCTAAGAACGGAGATGGCGGCACAGGACTCTGGCAGGGCTTCCTTCTGTTGTACACAGGATCGCTATGAGTTGGTATCAACCTGATAGCCCCCAACAACAACCAAACAGGTGGCCTAAGACTCTCGAAGTCAAATTCCAGAGCACCGCAGGTGTTACCTCGTTTTGTATTCTGGGTCTAACTACAATGCTCTCCACTTAGATGGTGGTTTTACAGTTTTGAAAGTGCGGTTAAGATGACAATGAGTAACTCATTTAATTCTCACAGAAACCTTGTAAGAATAGCAGGGCAAGTGCAATTAGCTCTAACTCGAGACAAAAATATGGAGGCTTAGAACTATTGAGATATAATATAAAATTTATATTGCTCGAGTGAAGTGCCAGAACCAGGAAGCAATCATTATTCTTGTAAATATTCTTGGGAGTCAAGCACTTATTCTTGGGCTCTGGAAACAGCTTAATATAGAGCAGCTGCTGATATGGTTTATGAAGGTTTCCTCTTGAAAGCATTTTCTTCACTCCTCCAATGGCTGGTTCAGTATCAGGTTAGATACAAGTGACAAGAAAGAATTAAGTGATCAAAATGAACAAACAACAAAATTACACATTTTATTAGCGACTTAAAAGTTCATTCTCCCAAAATAGGTAAGCCAATACAATGATGGCTGTATAATGTGATTAATTCCACTGAATGTGTAGAAAAATTTAAACCAGCAAATGTGTTAGATGTATTTTATTTTAAAAAAAATTAAGATCGGTAAGCTGATTAAAAGTGTAGTCAGGAATATCTGGATGAATTGAGGGAGGCTGCCAAACTAAGAAGCTTTGGATGAATAGTGGGGGGTGAGTATGTGTTGGAAGGAGGACAGGGGAGAGGTTGCTAAACATTTATTATATCTAGTCCCTAATCTTTGTAAAAAATTAATGCCAGTTGAAATATTTAGATTTATTTAGATTATATTTATTGCTAGCTAAAAGACTCATAAATGAATCTTATACTATACTAATACTAGAAACTGTAGCTAGTTACTGAGTTATCCGGGGTAGGCATAAAAAAAAAGGATGTAATCAAACCTTTACATGAAATCTTTTTGAAAACTGATACCAAGGTTGTTTTGGGGAATTCACATGTTAAGACCAGCTACACCTAAATTTAGGTTCAAGTTTTCAAGAAGATGTCAGAGATACCCATATAAATCTGTCATTTCAACAATTTTCTAGAGCCATTCATGGTGCTATTACTTTCATGTTTTGCATTTGATACAAAAGCCACAACTACTTACAAAGTCACAAATTAAGTTTTTAATACACACCTGCCAACGGAACACAAAGCTTTACATGTGTAGTACGGCTGTTTGCTGTAGTTTTCCAGGTCGTAAAGCACAATGACACCATCGGAGCCACCTGACAACATACTGAGAAAAGTGTTCACGTTAATCCATCATTCTGTGTAATCCACTTATTTATGAACGTCTGAAAATTATTAGTCTACAAGTTTAAAAATACATTAAGTCCATAACTAACATTTCCTAAATTTAGAAAAAATGAATATTTTCTTTCTTCTCAATGGAGGTCTTTATTTGCTTTACTTTGTTATTCATGTTAGGTTTTGTTTGTTTTTTAATGTTTTTCCATCTCTGAAATCCAGGAGAGGTAGATGTATGAAGTCACTAATTGGACTAATGGTTCCTGGGGGTACGGCAGGGGCGGGGGGTGGGGTGGGGGCGAATGGGGAGCTAATAATGATGAGTGCTAAATAAGGAATGAAAAAAATGTTCTAAAACTGATGGTGGTGCTGGTTATCCAACTCTTCTTGATGTGACTGAACTAATTATACGACAATAAAACTGTTGCAAAAATGAATATAGCAACATTCAACAGAAAATAATTTAAAATGTACTTTTGTGATTTCAAAAAGTTGAAAAATTGTAGAAACATTACATCCTCAAGAAAATGCAATAGCATTTTAAACTATTTTAAACATCATCAAACATATTATTAAACATTATTAAATATTAATTAATATTAAACATTTAAAATAGTGTTTTAAACATTGTAATTATGATTACACAGAGACCAACGACAACTGAGACCAGATGAGCCTGGGCAAGTTACTTCATTTGGTTGAGCTTTTTATCAATTATAAAATGGGTACATTGTCAACTAATTCACAAAAGTGAAGTTAAGTGGTGTATTTTACAATGCCTAGAAGAGCAATAAATGTTAGATTCCTTTTCATTCATTGGGCTTTGATAATGGAATTTTGTCACGCATGTTTGAAGCCCCCTCATAAAACCACAAATGGCTAAAACTCTGATCTTTGCTATAGTAACCTATTCTTACTCTAGTTTGGGGATTCGGGGCTGTTTGTAATATTGAAGCGGCATGTGCACGAGGCAGGAAAGAACTCAGGGAGGCGAACAACAAGTCAGGACCTGTTCGTAGGGGTTGAAAGTTAGAGGAGGGGGGCTCCATAGTCTGTCCCCTTTCATCCATGACTTGGGGGTTGAGACAACACCTCATGAATTAGGTTCATTATTAGTGTTAAACACTGGCTTCTGTTTTTGCTGTCTTTAGTTTATACTAATTTTAATAGGGGATTTGAAGAAATTTCTGAAACTTGCTGCCAATGTCATTTTCCCAGAATGCACATTTCATTTATTACACTCTTTGATTAAAGATTTCCACCTGAGGGAACCGATTGCAAGGGACTATATGTGACCTCCTCCCTGGGGGACGGACAGCTGAAAAGTGGGTGGGGGGAGACGTCGGACAGGGCAAGATATGACAAAATAACAATTTATAAACTATCAAGGGCTCATGAGGGTGAGGAGAGCGGGGAGGGAGGGGAAAAATGAGGACCTAATGTCGGGGGTTTAGTGGAGAGGAAATGTTATGAGAATGATGAGGGCAATGAATGTACAAATGCGCTTTACACAACTGATGTATGGATTGTGATAAGAGTTGTATGAGCCTCTAATAAAATGATTAAAAAACAAACAAGATTTCCACCTGACTTTGAAAAATATTATAATGAAACACAAACTAGTGTTTAAAAGTGCCCGTGACAAGGTAAGGGCCTTGTACTAGAAATAAACTCACTTCTTTCTTGCTTAAAAACAGAAACAAAAAGCTCAGCTAAACTGTGTGCGCAGTGATGAAGCAAATGCACATTCGGTACAAGTTCTTTATCTTGTGGGAATCAGTTACAAAGAGTTCATGAACCGGAGCATGCATGAGTAGCCCTATTTTATAGATTTGATTTAAAAAATATGAAAACCAATTTGTAGCATAATTATGTTTACTTAAAAGTAGTTTCTTAAAGGCTCAAATAACTCTAGAATTTCATTGATAATGATGGGCAGCAAAGAAGACAACCAGTAATGCCATGCTCAAAGTAAAAACTTTTTAATTCAACATTCACTTCATAAACATTTGTAATTTACTCTGGTATATATAGAGAAATATTTGCAATTTTAATAAGTACAACTTTATGCCTTATTGGAAAGTACTACTTGTTATTTAGACACAGATGTATACCAGGACATTCTGAAAATGTTTCTGCTTCATATTTTATCTCTGTGGATTATAGCTTCTATCATGCCACTATGGTTGTATTATCAATGTGAAAACAAATTATCTTAATTTTCATTATACTTAACTAGATTCACAGTGATATTTATAAAAATATCAGCTATCTAACCTTTGATAGGATGGCTCAGGCCCCCCCCACCCCAAAAAAGAAAAACAACAACACTGAAGCATTAGTGAAATTAATGGACTTTTTATTTGAAGTGCCTGCTCATATTGGCTTACAGTGATGTCATGCTAATTTTTTACAGGGCTGCCAACAATTCAGCATATTAAGAGAAGGCTTCAAAAGAGAGAGAGGTGGCGTCATTTCATGTTTTCACAGGGGCAAGAATACTTTGTATCAAGAAGAATTAAATTAATTGAAAGAGAATTTAGAAGATTACACAGTTTCACAGAAGAGTTATATACACATACATTCTGAAGTTACAGAATTGCAATTTTCAAGTAGAACTTCTAATTTTGCATATGAATGCTTCTTGATCAGATTTGGTTTTCACTATTTTATGGTTCTCATTTGAGTTCAATGAAATCATTACAGTTCTCACAGTGGATATGTATTGTGAGCAAGATACACATGTCCATTTTCTTAGGAAAATGAAAATGAAGACATTTCCCATTAAACATACAGTTTCCTTTAGTCTATTTCTCTTGCCTACCAAAAAGATTTAATGCACAATTAAGTGTTGTTGTTAGGTGCCATTACCGACCTGTGCACAACAGAACATGCCTGCCCAGTCTCGTTCCATCCTCCAAATAGTTCCTAGGTTTGGGCCCATTGTTGCAGCCACTGTGTCAATCCATCTCATTAAGGACCATGATGTTAGAAAACAATAAAGTAATCAGAGCTTTTACCATGTAACAAATGGTAAAAATTAATGCAACAATGGTTTTCAGACCTTTCTCTGTGACAAACTTGTATTTTTAAGCATACGTCACATATTACCTAATATATAATTTCCTGCTTCTCCCACTGACTGTCAATGGATAGGTATTTCATAGGTCACACAACCGACCACTGTGCCACATGCAGTGGGTAGTAGTATTTGATGTTTTCCCATCAATACCCAAGACAAAAAGCATTGCTATGTCTAAAGTCTGCATCCGTTTTATAAATGCAGATCCGCAGCTCTCCCAGAGTGGGTGCTGTGATGCTGCCCCTGGAAAAGGTCATGGGAAGAGGACTATCGCTGGCCATCTTTCAGCTGTAACCATGTGCTAAAGTGAGAACCTGCTTACTTGGTTCACCAGTGAGACCATGAGGAAGCAGGCCATAAACAAAAGAGGCCTACCCTGGCTTACAGTAATGGAAATAATAACACTTCATTATAAAACAGAAAAACACGGGGACAATTACTAATCCTTGTATGATGGGGACAGTGGAGATATACAAGGACTACCCTGGACAATGAAAAAAAAATTTTTAAACCAACTTTTACACTTGGTCTAATTATACACTGCATGAGGTTTTGACCTTCAGTGTGAGAGCAATGTGGGGTCATGATGAGTTTCCAGTGCGGAGCTGCCATCTTCAGATTTGCATTTTTCAAAGCACTGGGGCTGCTGTGTGAGATGGGAAGAAACGGGGCATGAATGCAGGTGATGCAGCTTTTCATGAACAGCACCAGTGGAGGTGACAACCATTTGTGAAGTACCAGTTACCATCTCAATTAATCCTCACAACAAACTTGCTAGGTCATATTATTTTCCCCACTGCATAGATAACTTATTGCCATCTTATTGACTCTAACTCATAGGGACCATATATAGGGTTTCTGAGGAAACCTTTTTTTAAGGAAACAAACAGCTCATGGAGCAGCTGGTGGGTTTGAACTGCTGACCCTACAGTTAGCAGGCCAATGCCTGCTTACCTGACAGGCCCACCAGGGCTCCTTATTATACACACAGGGTGCTGAGAACAGGATAGTGAGGCAGATTGAACAAGTTTACATAGCTGATAAATGGTAGGGCCAGGGAATGAAAATACAAGGCTGGCTTGCTTCAAATATAATTCTCCAAATAATACCTCTGCTTTTTACAAGGGTTTCCCACTAGATGCCATACGAGGAGTACGTATGTTTTAAAAGTGCACTAGGAGAGTGAAGCAAGATGGTAAAATGAATATGCTCCCATTTACTCCCACAGCAACCAACACACTGAACAACGAATAAAAACAAGCCCAGACGGAGATCTCCGAACACTGGATGGCAGCTGGGGTGTTGGGTCAGGAGAAGAAATGATTGACTCCTTGCCCACGGTGGGACACGAGTGCCCATGCAGGAAAGACACAAAGCCCCACCTTTGCCACAGGAATGTCCGGCCCCAGTGCTTACCTCATTATAATCTACTAAACCCCACCCCTTATGCACGTGTGAATTTTTGAGATTAAGCAGTCAGAACTCCTAAATCAGCACAGGGGAAAAATAAAAAGCACGAAACCTAAGGACATGTGTGCCCTCGGTTGGTTCTAAGGAGAAGATAGCAAGTCCATGGTTGTCACTGGATTAATTCTGACCCATGATTCTGTGGGGTGAAGGAGCTGCCCTGTGGGGGCGATCAGGGCAGGGATTCTCTGCTGTCTCATCTTTCCACACTGAACAGCAGCCCTGGCATTTAATTGGCAGCCGGGAGCTTGGCTGTGCCACTAGAATACCCACTCCGAAAATTTTCCCACACAATCA